TACAAGATAGATGATGACAATACTGTAAAATTTTAATGTTAGGACACGGTGTTTTATTCACTCTGATCACTATTTAGGCTAGTTGCTTTATTTCACTTTCTTGAATGAAAAAAATATGATCTCTTACTATTAAGCCTAAATCCTCTGCATGTGAGGATATTGTAGACAAGGTAGGATGCTCTGGCTATATGAGAGAGTTCACTAATGTACTATTGGTGATTTATCAAAAAGTAAGTTAAAACCTGTTGAGATTTCGAGTGGAATTTGGAAGATTTCTTGCATGCTGCACATAGCCAGTATCCAGTCATTACTGAAGCATTCGAAATAGTGTTAAAAACCACGCATGACAGCACAAATACTCTTAAAATTAGATGTCAAGCAGTAGAAGAATTCATTAACTAGAGCAGAAGCCTATTAACCAAAGATGTCAGATTAAAAAAAATGGCACCAAGAAAGCATTTTCATCACTTCAGAGCTCTAAACAGTGTGAAAACCAAATCTGTGAACTACCAGAAAAAACTGCTTGTTTTCAACTTGAGTATAAGCTGACTGCTAATGCATGATTGCAAGCTGAGTGTTAACAAAACATTCAAAAAGAAACTAAATGGCTTGAAAAACAAGTGCTTACAAAAGATTGTATGCCATGAATAGAAATATTTTTTTCACTAACACAGAGACCTTGAGAAATCACCAGTCAGTAGCTGGTCTTCACCAGAACCAGCAGTGCTGGACATATTTTGGTCATATCCTCCAAATAATAACAGAATGTCTCCTATGTGAGGTATTGGATGGAATAATGATCACCAGCAGCAAACAGTGACAGATGAGTGGAAGAAACTAACTCGAGGCAACTCTACCAATGTAGGCTTCAGAAATATGTCATGTAGCATTTAAAACTGCCAGAAGTATATAAACATTTGTTTGCAGGATAGCCACTGGAAATAATCCAGTGTCCTACACAAGTCACAACAAGAGGAGAACCTACTTCTATCCTGTATACAGTCCTCCTGGAAAATGTTTTGTGGTTCAACTTGGCTTATCAACCTCCTTGGTATCTGAATTCAAGCATGTACTTGTCAGACATGCCCTAGTCAAAGAGTTAAAATGCTTTCCTCAGTTAAATTTTACTGACTCTATGGGCTCCATCCACAGTAATCCACATGTGCTGGCTGGTCTCTCCAGTCTTGCAAATAACCAAAAATTATTTCTGATGAGCCCTCCCCTTTCCAAGAGCTCAGCCCAGGCCACTCCATATAGAGCTGGCCCCTTGAGTCACTTCTGACATGGCTTGTACCTTGCCTGCTCTGTTTTCTCTGATTCTGACATACTGTCCTTGTTCAGCTGCCTCGGCTTTCTCCACCCCTGTTCAGTAAACTCTGATATTAGAGCTGCAGTTCTGCTCCCCAACCCGAGGCTGCTTTGCTCCCAGCTGCAGTTTCTGTCTTTTATCCCATGAAATGGGGCTGGGGACCTCGCTAATACCCTGATAGCATTCTCACTGCTGTGGCTCCTGGCCCAGTCTCAGACCCTCATACTGCACTTCCCACCTCCCCTTGAAAATCACTTCCATCCCCAATGCAGGCACAGGAGACAGAAAAAGAGCAAAGGCAAAAGGGTAAGCCCAGAGCAATTCTGTCTGGAGATGAAAAATTCAGTATGCCTACCTTCCAGGGAAGGTCTGAGACCACCCTGCACCTTGGGACCTGTCCAACCTTCTTGAACAGCCAAATACACAACCCCTTACTCTGACACTCTTAAGCTAATTTCCCCAGCAGTTCTTTTCAAGCAGTTGATTCACCACTGCTTGGGTTAATTGTGGGGTTGATTTTCTACCCCTCTACACAGGTACAACTCATGAAATGTCTCACTGTATTTCATTTTACTTGGCCAGACTTTACCTTTTTTTTTTTAATTTATTTACAACAAACCAAAGAAACCACCCCCACTACTGTTTCCTTTCACAGCTTGTTTTTTTCACAATTGTGGTCATGTTTGCACAGTAGTACTGCTACAGAAAGCTGATCTCAAATGCCCGTTTACTTACCTCAAACCTCCATACATTGTCTCTCTGGGAGTATTGTCCTTTCCTACTAAACCTGCACCTTTTTCCAAAAATGAAAATGTGACGAGAAGTGATTGACTATGGGCACTTCAGGTCCTAGATCGGTATCTAATTTGTTAGGTCATCTTCCCTGGCTCTACATCCACCCCTGAGCTGCGCTTGTCCAGGGACAAAGACAGAAATGGTCTAAATGCTGTGAGGGACGTTTAGGCTTGATCTGCTTGGTCTTGCTGCTGTCCCTGAGCTCTGCGAAGTGGCAGCACTGCCTTGCCCGGGCAGGGACGGGCACAGCCGTAGCTTCACACTGGGGCCTGCCCCGGCAGCAGGGGACGCTGCGGTTTCAAGGTGGCAGTGGGCTGCCCCTGTCGGCCCCTCCTGCAGCGGCTCAACGCAGCCCCAGGCCTTCAGGCACCCTGCAGGCACTGGCGGGAGGGCCTCCCTGCTTCACCTTGTGAGAAAAGCTGTTCCTCCCGAACAGCAGCCCTGGGAGGACCCTGATGGTCCCCCGGGAGCAGCGCCGGGGCACGCAGAGAGGGTGCTGAGGTGCACCTCTCCTAACAAGGGGCCGCAGAGCCTCCATTGTCCCTCAGGGTCTGCTCTGGTCCGGTCCCCTCCGAGTCAGGGCCTTCACCTGACCCCGACGCAGACAGCATTGTGTCCCCGCAGGCATCTCCTGGGGAGAAGGCCTGCCCGGCGAAGGGGGCAGAGGGGCCGGCGGTGCTCCCAGGGCACCCGGCCCGTGGCCTGCCCGCGCCATGGGCACCACAGGGCCTCCTGTTACCACGGCAACGGGGCCTGCTGCGAGTGGCAAGGGGATGTGGGCCTCGCTCGCCCAGGGCGAGGAGAGAGGGGATGGGGGACCCCCAAGAGGGGACACAGGACCCCGCCGGGGCTGTGCTCGTGGGGACGTTAAACAGGGTCAAACAGTGGTGAGGGGCCATCTCCTGCTCCAGATTTAGCAAACCCCACGGCCCGACGTCGTTGTGACCAGGTGCTGTTCTGAAGGACGGGCCAAGCTTCCCCGGTGCTGTTTGTTTCTTACCCACTCCGTTTGACATTTTTAGCTCTTCAGGAATTTTATCTTGCCCGCTATGAAAGGACTGCATGAATATACATCACCTGAAGTGTCCTTTGGTATTTTCTTCAGTGATGAGTTTTAAAACGAAAAAAACCCCCATGTGTAGATTATGTAAATAAAGTGGAAAATAGTTATTATGCTGTCTACTGAGGTGCTGTTAGGAGAAAGTTATACCATATTTTGCAAGAAACCTTTGAATTGCTCTATTTAAAAAAAAAAAACAAAACAACTAAAAGAAACAGTCCATTCAATAACTAGCAGTCCTTTGCAAGATATATGAAATAGTCTTTAATACATGTATAAAAATATCAAGCAACTGTACAAAGCCTCAATCACAAACGAAATTTTATTGAGGTCAGCTATGTGAAGATTGCAGGGTCTGCAGTCAACATACACGTCTTTGCTTACAAGGTTAACCCATCCCTCCACCAGCCACCCGAGCGAGCAGTTTTCTCCCTCGGGTCTGGTGCACAGCATTTCACGAGCAACATTTGGAGGGAAATGGGCTCTCCCAAGTGCCAGGCTTGGCTCAGCAAGCTGAGATCTCAGCAGAGCTCACCTCCAGAGAAGGATGATCCCTTGTGCCTGGCTCTGCTCCAGCTACGCACCCTCATCGACAGCACATCAGCCCTAATCCCTCAAAAACCTAAACAAATACATCAATAAAGAAAAATTCTAGTCTCAGCCTGTCCCCAGAAACCACAAGCCAACCCCATCAATCCTGCCTTGTAACAGGGCATTTTGATATTCCTCTGGGGAAGCAAGAATGTTGTCCTTCCACAGTGGACCTGGCTCTGCAAAACCAAAACACATCTGGAGGAAGTTGTATCCCTTCCTTAGCTAGAGGAGAGTTAAGCTCATCGTAGCAACCTGTTCTAAGCCATTACTAAACCAAATTTAGTTTCTACTTGACCGATGTGAGTTTTTGATAATTCCCTCGTTAAGAGTGATTTTGGATCAGACTCACCTGTGCCCAGATTGGAATGCAGGCATTGGCTTTATCCCAGATAAGTTAACCTTGTACTGTAAAGTGTAGAGTCATTGACCTGGACAAATGCATTCTGCTGTGTAGTCCTAAGTCATCTGGAGTTTGCGACAACACCAGCATGTCAGAAATATTTCTGCTGTCCCAAAAAGCCATCATGCCCCAAGTCTAGTAATTTTGCATGTCATCCACTTCAAGACCCACAGCAATCATGCCAATATCTCTGACAAAGGCAGTAATTTAAAATCTAGACTTGATTGCATTTTTTGGGGACCGTTATGATCTTTGAATAGGTAAGCCCACACATATCCAGCACTTCACTTGTAATGCACTCTGCCACAACATTTCTGAAGTCTCTTCAGAATAGTTTTCTTTTCTGTAACTCTTGAGTAGTTTTAGCTACCCGAGCTCTTGGGCAGACCCATGAGGATTCATAAGAGAACTGTAATCCATGCATATGTGGATCCATTGCATATTATTAAACAGGCCTGTTATGGCCTTCCTGAGCGCTTACCAAAGCTCAGAATCAGACCTCTCCATCTATCCCATCTTACCTGAAAGGGTTATTTATCAATCAAAGAAATGAGCCCATGTGTTGCATGTAGCCAAATACGTAGTCCAAAAATACTGCTTTCCATACTAAACTGCAAACACATGTGCAGGGTAGCTACATTTCTCTACATTAAAAAATAATAATAAAAATTTACAAGTGATCAAAAAAGCATAAACAGCTTTGGAAAAGAGACAGGGTTTTCTTTCCACTGAAGAAGGTAGGTGATAGCATTTTCAGTTCAGCTACCGCATTAGGTTGCTGAGGCAGCTCTCAGAGAGACCTGTAAAGGAATGGTCGATCCACACACAGAGCTGGCAGAAGCTTAATTGTCAGTGACATAAGTATTGGCTCTGATCAAGGTGTTGCGTCTAGAACTGTAAGACATATCTTCATACACTGCATTTGGTTTTCTTTTCTGGAAATATTTCTTCATCTGCAAAACAAAGCAAACAGCTGTTCAGAACAGAGCTTGAAAATATCCCGACCAAGAAGTCAATTTACATCTTAGGAGTCCATCTGTTTGAAGTGGAAATGTACTTTTAAATTTCCTTTCATAACCCAATGAGGTCTTAGAGTATTAGGTAGAAATTGTCAACATATTTATTTAACTTTCTATTGTCAGTCTGATGTCATTTCACTAAAAGTTCCTTCAAGAATTGGATGTAACTGTGGCCTCAACATAAATAAGGCTTATCCTTAGTTTGTTACTGATAACACAAGAGACCAGTTCCTACGGGGCCAGCTGGCTTTGCCAGAATTATGTTATACTACTGTTTTTTAGCAGTACTGAAGCCGTATGTGGAGGGACAAAATAGGAGCCTGACCTGTGAATTGTACTCTCTTAATTTTAAGTAATCTTTATGGAGCAGAAGGATCTATCAGAGACAAATAATTTCTGGGCACTTTCTGCAGAATATAAATGTAAATAATCCCAGTAAAGGAAAAATTTCTTGGTCGCCTTTTTTTCTAGGACAGGGCATAATTATTCTTCTTCAGACATTAGGCTATTTCATGACTTTTTCTTGTCCTTGTGTCCCCCTCCAAACATTCTCTTACATCTATTACAAGATTGGTATATACAGCTTCATTTCCAATTGAAAAAAAAAAAAAAAAAAAAAAAAAGCAGAACAGAATAGTGAGGTGCTCTGTTCAGGGAAATACATACAACACATGGCTCTGTTGTTGACTGTGAGGCTTACTTAAGGTTTGTTATCAAAAAGCAAACAATATCTCATTTACTAAGAGTTACAGAAACATGAGAAGACACAGTCTTTACTGCCAAGAGTTTACAGCTGGGAGACGTTAAACAAGGGCAAAGAGGAGACAATAGAAAGCCATGATTCCTTAGGTTTATCAAATGTTTGCTTGACTCAGTCACTATTTACAAATAGTATCAGAGGCACCTATTCACTCAACCCAGATTCAGTTTTGCTTTGGCATGGTAAAAGCATACTTACATCAACATGGTAAAGGGTGCAGCATATCAGCACAAAAAACAGTAGCGCTGACACGATGATAAGACCATAGATGCCCCAGGAGTTATTACTGCAGTGTGTCTGCTCCACTTCTGCATGTAAAATTATATTATTATAAATAAGAAAAGGTAGAATCCCATTTTTATTAAGACAAAAATGATTTACTGGTCAGCAAGAAATCAGATATCAACAGCATGCTACACAGCCACATTTGCCATCCCATTAGTATTTTCACTGGCATTCCCTGTGCTCTTCTAGAGGCTGGTGATGACTGCAGGTGGCATGTGAAGGGTCAGTGAGAAGCACCGTACAAAGGTGATAGCTTCCATACTACTGATCAGAAGTAGGACCACACACTCATAATCGAAACAGAAAATGTTTTACTACAGTATTACATCAACACCGAGGGCTTGACCAGGAGTATATAGGAATTATGTAATGGCTAGGTTTGCAAGCAGTACAGACAGAAGTAGGAGGCTACTGTGATCTGAAGTATACACACTGAGAAGAACAGTGCCAGTGGAAAGGGTTACAGTTCTCTAAAACCTCAATTAATCCACATCTGAATAACATAATATCTGGTAATCACCCCACTTGTTTGATGTGCAGTTGTCATTTTCCCCAACTCATGTTACTGAGTTGTTGCACCAGTTATGGCTAGTGGCACAGAATGAGACCACAGTCTTTTTGCAGACTGCAGATAGATCCTTTGCAACTCTTAGGGCTCTATGTAAACCTTATTTTAATTACCCAAAGATCTCATCAAAGCCCAATGCACAGGGTTAAATTGCACCAGCAAGATCAAAATCAAGCACTGTATTGCTGGTTTTGTCTTCATCTTCGGAAATGGTTACAACACCATCCTGCAGAAAAAGAAAAACCCCTGTCTTTGGAACAGATGCTCACAGCGTGCTCAGTGTATAATAAGGGTGTGTAAGATCATCTCTGCTATTATCTGTGGTACTTTAAGTAAATGCCTGAGGACTTGTTCTGTACTCCCTAGTGTGACCTATTTTTAAACACAAAGACTTGCTATAGGGAATGGTTTCTAAAAGACATTTATGTGCACATTAAGGTCAAAGAACTGATGCTAAAAATACTGACTCATTTCCTAAAACTGACAGATTATTCACAGACACACTGAAGTGCTTGTTGTTGGATTTTGACTTTTTTTTTTTTTAAGATGCAGGATTATAGCAAGTTTTCTCTATTATAATTCCCCTCTGGTTGTACAAGGCAGGTAGAAACATAGTGCCTGTTTCTGTGTCCTAGTACAACAGGGCGCAGAAGAGTCTGAGCACACTCTCCAAACTTTCCCAGGTACTGGAAGAAGTCTAGCCATGGATTAGTGCTTTACCTGTCCTGACTAAAGTTCTGCAAGCTTTTAGTCCACCTTTTGCATTACAACATGCCTATGGTTATTGATGATTAAACAAGGAAAAGGATAGTACCTTTAATCAGCACCATGGTGCCGCTTCTGTTCACTGAGAGGAAAGGAGAATTTTTCAACATCCCAGCACATACATATATATCACTGTCATTTTTCTGTAGGTTGTGTAGAGTTATCAATACTTTCTTTTCTTCCTTTGAATACTCCAAGCGATTAGCAAAAGCAGGAGAAATAGTTGAACCATTTTGACTTGAAACATATAGCACTCTCTCAGGTTGCATTTGAGTCTTGAGCAAGTAGAACCCTTCATCTTCATGTGAGCTTTTCAGTGCACAGGTAATGCTGATAGACTGGCCTTGCTGAGGATTGACATACAGCGGTGATTGCTCAACAACTTCACTGGTTTTAGCTAAAAACAAGAGAGATTAATGGCTACCACATACTTAACACAGTGCATTTTAACTAAGAAGCAAATACAAAGGTCAAAGACAGAAAGAACAGACCACAGAAATTTAGATAAAATGATTTTTTTTAAAAGACTACCTTTACGCATGCCTTGAGAAGAAAGATATATTTCAGTACACCCTGGCATGTTTTCCTGCCCCAGGATCTGAAAGTAGGACTGACCAAACAGGTTTACCTGGTTGTAAAGGCTGTCCACATACCTAAAATTACATATACTGAACTCTTCTAAGGGAATACAGCTTCATTGGCTTGCCCTTGAGACATGGATTGTTGCCTGCTTTCTCAAGTGAGATCAAGCCATAGAAAGATCTGGAGACTACCAGTCTGGATGAAATCATACAATGTGGGTGCCATCAATGTAGAAATGGTCTTCAAAAAGCAGTTGTTAATGGCTTGCTGTCCAGCTGGGAAGACATTTCACTGAGTTCCCAACAGGACAGGCCCTGTTCCTTTTGACATTATCATTAACTTGGATGAGGGAACGAAGACAGAGTTTGTCACATTTATACAAAAGATAATTCTGGGAAGGTTGCAAGCATTTTAGAGAAGAGGATTGGAATCAAAAAGAGATATAAGGTAATTTAATGAAATAATTGGGAGAAACAGTACATAATCAGAAAGATGGAATTCATTTGAGAAAACACAGTCAAGAAGTTTGAGAAGAGAACCCTAAGGAAGGACATGATAAGTCTTCATAGATATAGATTACTATTACTGACACAGCAATAAATTAGGGTTTGCATGCCTTGGGGACAGGAAAAGAAGAAAACCCTGTAATTTTTGGTAAAGACGTTTCAGGTTAGATGGTCTCATCAAAAGAGTAGGTATGTAGAGGAATAAACTGCCAAAGAATATTGTGTACTCAACCCTTTTCTAAAAAAAAAAAAAAAAAAAAAAAAAAAAAAAAAAAAAAAATTTTTCCCCTAACTGGAAATGACTGCCAAAAGGAGCACTCGTGCCCATTCATCAACTGTTTATTAAGAAGAGAAAAAAGACCCACAACCCTTTACCCACTGATGCCCAACTTGCAAACCCTGCCTAGCACCAGCTTCCCAATTATTATCAATTTGTCAATTAAGATAAAATAGTAAAAACAAAAGAGATTAGCAAAAAACCACTACCAAAAAAAAGGCTCATTGCTTTGCTGGTTATTCATAAAGATTTGACTGACTGTTTTAGAAAGAGCTATGGGTCCTCACTGTTTCCAAACTGCTGCAGCAAGCTATGACTCACGTGAAAACCTGTAGCTAGGATTAAATTAGTCATGAACTGATGTTCTAGGGATTTTCTTGGTACTGTTCTATCTAATGTGTTTTCTTCATCTTTTCAGGGAACAGACTCACACTTTCCTTCAAATCAGTACATTACCTGAGCAGACATGGGAAAAGTTCTGTTAGACTCTCCCTCCCATTAAGCTTTCTTCCAATCTTTGATTTAAAATATATATCTGCATTTATTAATTCATGACATAAAAGGTAGAATTGCAATACCTTTCACCACTACTATGGTTGTCTTCCCACTCAGCTTTATGTGATGGCCTTTGCTTTTAATAAACTTAGTGCATAGGTAGATATTGGAATCAGATTCCTGTACATTGTGCAGAGTTATTCTGAGATTCCTTCCGTCCTTTGAATACTTGGTGCGATTAGCCAAAGCAGGAAGGATATATGAAGTATTCTGCTTGGAAACATATATCACATTGACCGGCTGTATGATAGTTGTCAAGTATGTTCCCACTTCATTTTCTGAACCTTTCATTGAGCAAGTTATGCTGATGGAGTCTCCTTCCCAAACACTGATAATGTCTGTTGACTGATCATTTTCTCCACCTAAAAATAAGAAATGCAATTGAAATTATAATATCAGAGTTCTTCTTGATCTATTAATATCAAAGTAGTTTTAAAAAACAACTACTCTGTCAACAGAACCACTCTGTAAGACTGGACCTTAGTCTTGATACCCTGTATATATCATCTCTTGGCTGTCCTGAAACCTATAGTGCCTTTCATGCCCATTGACCTGTGCAACTCAACGTCTCCCCATAGCTTAAAAGGCCTTGGCAAAAAAGCAGCTTCTGTCACTCATGCAAAAAATTTAGTCTTCTCTGTAGATTCCCAGTATGATCTTATTAGTTCTCAAAAGACAATCTTCATTGAGCTGAGCCCAATAATCAGAGCTGGTTGAGGATCTAAATCTGAAATTCAAAGGTTTCAAAAAATGGTAGAGAATGGAAGAAAATTACCCTTTTTTTTTTTTTTTTTTTTAAAAGGGGGGCTTTAGCAACGTCAGGAAACTGGAGAATGTAGCCACTTAGGAAGAGAACTGCAGAAGGTATAACTCCAGCCTATTCTAAGAAACAAAGGTATAAAAACATACAATGAAACCCTTTGAGTTCTCTAATGACCTCAGTATCAAAAAAACCTGAACAGTAAGTACTTGTACAATGAATAGTGAGGAACAGAGGGATCAAATGGGAAACATCTAAAAGAAATTACATTAAAAGCAAGGGAAGAAAAATTATAGAGTTATTGCATATCTAAGACAAACATAGTATAGAAAGGGTAGAATTATTCAGTGTTGGCAAGCAAATTAAAGATCCCTACAAACTTAAAACAATTTGTCTTAATAAGGGAACAAACACAGAAATCAAACACAGAAAGACCAGATGATGGGAATTTAGATACAGTAGGTCAATCCAACCTGACCAGACACGAGGACATTCCTCCTACAACACTTAGAGAAGGAATTAAGGCAACCCAGGAGTTGTCAGCAACTACCTTCTAAAGCAGCAGAGAAATGGGGTGAACAAGAAGGCTGGAGAAGCACAGAGCACTCAGCCTTTACAAGCAGGGAAGGAAAGCCCAGGAAACTCATCTCCATCAGCCTAAAATCAGTACTGCTAAGCTGACCCACACTTAGCTGATCTAAGAAACCACATAGCTAATGATAAGCAGCTGCAGCCGATCAATTTTCTTCAAAAGATCGGGGTAGAAGTTCAAGAGTTAAATTATATTTGCAGAAATCAGTATTGACTCCTTAACAACCACTGGCTAAAGAACGGCAAAGACACTCAAATATTCTCACCAGTTTCACTGCATCTTCATTTCAGACATGCTGATTTATGGATAACATTTTTTTCTCAAGTTACCATCCTTTCCAGTTATTGTCAATGGTCATAAGGGAAAAAAGGGCTGACTGGAGACATCTTTTTCCTCAGCCTGTTCTCCTTAGCGGTTGACAGTGTTTTCCCCAAGTGTGCGTCCAGCTTGTACTCTCAATAGCTACAATAATATTCAGCAACAGATATTTCTAGTAAGGTTTTATTACACCTTCAATAATTATGTCCCCAGTAAATATCAATATTTATTTCTATCCAGTAGTGGGTTCCCCCGTCAACCTTACCAATATAGATACAGTTCACATTGAACTACTGGGAAAACAACTTCCACTCTCTACAGAGAGTAATTTCCATGTAGAAAAGTTCTCATAACAATAATTTGTCATTTTTTTCTAAAAATTCATTCTATAATTTCAAAGAATGTTTTTCAAAGTTCCACCTGGGTTTGCTAATGGTGAATTTGCCAGGAACCTGTTTGAGACAATAGACTAAGAAGGGCTGGGGGGGAAGGAAAGAAAATATTGAAACTTCTGAAATGTAAGAGTGTCTATGTTGTACGTACCATTCTGGCCAGAGAAGCACATGAACAGCAGAAGAAAGAGAGACGCACTTGGGAAACATGATATCCACAGCATTTTCAAAGGTCTTTTTAGTTGTTCTCTATTATCCGACTGACGAATTAAAGACCTGAAGAGAGGATTGTATGCCAAAAGTTGTCCTGTTTTCTTCTAGCTACATCAGCTGTCTACTAAAAGTTAGCAACATGCTGCCTTGGCCTTAGTATCGCAATGAATGTGACGGAGAGGGGGAAGAGAGATTTCTCTCCAGAGATGCATCTTGGCTTTGACTTCACACTTAAAACGCCCACAGTTTCCTACTACTGAACAACCCCCAACCCTGAGGGGCAGGATTAGAAAGATTGTCTATGGTGAGCACCTACTTTCCCTTTACAGTCAACTGAGAAAAGGTAGGCTCAAAGTTGCTCTTCACAGTGCCAAAATTAGGCAATTATCTACCTGTTGTGGCCTTACTGGAAATGTAGGTGCTTGGTACAATCAATTCAGTCTGTCAGTGTTCCCAAGGGTTTAGCAGGCTGCTTCGTTGGTGGCTGCAAACGCAAAAGTCTTGGCTACATAAGCAGCAAGTAGATGAGAGAGAGTCCATTACTTCAGGTAAACCTTAAATTGTTATAAAAACCCTGTTCACAAAACTACAGGTTTGATCTGCATCTTGGCAATGACCATATGCATAATTTCCAAGCAACAGCATGGTACGTACCTCCTGCGTGCCTCCTGGCTTCACATTTAATAACACATTCTGTAGCGTCTGCAGTACACAACAGCTGCTAACCAGCAAAAAGGAATCTCAGCTATAGTTAGCGTGTAGCTCCTGCTCCCTCCCCGATACGATGAAAACCTCTTCTTGCAGGCACTGCTCTCTGTGTGAATACAGAGGGAAAGGGGGTGTTCCCAAAGAGTTTCTTGACTGCTTGAAAGCTTAGAAATTTCATCTATTATTGTAAAGAAAACAGAGTTCAGGCAGGTTGTGAAATGAGCTTTCAATTAGCCCTATAAACGCTCACCACTGGATACAAAAGCAGATGCCAAGAGATGTCTCTTACTCTCTGTTTTTGCTTTTGCACTATTTAAGAAGTGGCTCTTGAGTTTGGGTATCATGGGATGGTGATGCTTTGTAAAGGAGATTAACATACCAAATAACAATACGATCAACACAGGGTTACCAAGTTTTTCAGCTGACATTTTATTGTGATGAGTATAATAACACAAAACAAAACAAATCATTAAAATGAAGTTACAACTATCAAATTATGGCATTTGGTGAGTCACACCACTTAGTATCTTTAGTAATTTTTTACTTCATAAGCAAATATTTGCCTATATTTGTATATTGCAAAACAACATAATGCAATTGCTTAGAACAAACACAGTAGAGCTTTAAGGCTGTAGATCTTCAGTTTTTCCTGAGATGTGGGATGATTCGTGTCTACCAACACAACAGAACTCAGGAGGGGCAAAGTGAAACAGTTGGTAGTGATGCCTCTGAATATCACAATCTCCATAATCATCAGTAGAAAGAAGAGATGTAAAGGAAAGTGTGCCTGAGTGAGCCATAAAGATTGGTCTGTGACTTGTGTCTTGTGACTAATTTAGCTAAACAACTGTCACGGGGCAGAGGTGTCCATATAACCTTTCTTCTCAAAACATGTCCAGCTCTCTGGCCCCAGCTGGTGTTAAAGAGTAGAAATCAAAACTGCACGTCATTAAACCTGAATCCCTCAAGTTAATACAATGCGAATTCTCAAATATCACTTTGTCCCTTTTCAAAGAACTCAAAATCCAAGTTTATACCAAAACCACCCAGTGTCAGACAGCAATTTAAACACCATATATACACATACACACAGATTTTTCATAGACACATTTATTTATATTTATACATAGACACTTTTGTTTTTCTCATTAGAAGACCATATAAAAGAACTGCTATGGCTTTCAATTTTAAGACTGTATTTTTCTAGGTATAGGAAAATAATGTATACATCCTTGGAAATCTCCAGAAGCACAGTATACAGCTTGACTGTGTAAACTGGAAGACTTGGCACTTCCTCAAAGGTGCCCAGAGCAGTGACTTACAGCAGAGGGGAACAGAAGCAAAAGCACTATCTGTGATAGCTGCAGTGGGGTCAAAAAGTGAAAGACCCATACCCAATTTGAGTGCTCCTTTCCCAGGCTATAGCAGCAGATGTATTATTTCCTCAAAAAAAGATGGGTTTTATCCCAAACAAATCTCTTCCTCACTCCTTTCAGACACAGCTCTACTCTGTTGAAAGTTTACAGCAGTCCTGTTCTGGGAAAAAACAGGAACTGCAATTGTGCTAAGGTGCTATATAAAGGGGAGAAGACTTTTTCCTTCTATCTTTAAATCCTTGCACAGTCTGGACTCTTTACAGGTAGCCTTAGCTTTGGCTTATTGAATAAGCATATTATAACGTTCATCATGGTATAACAGAGTTCACAACTAGATCAGTCAAAATAACACACTCGGTAAATACTTAAAAGCCTCTGAATATCTGGGGATTGACATCTCTTCATGTACTTTTGACTGCATTCCACCACATTAAAATTGAAAAGACAAAGTCCAACAAATAAGCTGAGAATTTAATTAAAAGGGTATCTTAGATCAGCATGAGTGTAAAGCCCCCACTGGGGAGGGGAAAAAACCCAAACCTGTAACAGCACTAGTCTCCTCTGCCAAACAAGAGCCAAATTTAAGCACAGAGGCTTTTCTGTATTTCTAAAATTAATTAATTAATTTTTTTGGTTGCCTTTCATTATGAGCTTTTGTCTTTATATTTGACTGTAGCAAATTTCAAGAGTTACACGACATCCTACATCCATTGAGATTTCCTGCTGGAAGTTTCAGCTACAGGTTTATGGGTAATTAAACCATGTAAAAATGATTCAGCAAGTATTCATACTGTTTCATGGATCTTCTTTTCCAGTTGTGCTGCTGCTGATTTTTGCTCAAAAGCCTGATACTAGATTAGGTCTAATGCAAACTTTTGAGGATTTATTCAAATCAAGCATGAATGAGAAATCATTTGAAGATGACATACCACCTGTGAACTACCAAATGGGGATCCCTGAAGTGCAGTATTCATCACATCTGTCTGCATGCAGGATACCCAAATCTGTCTTCAGATGCGGAAATATTGTAGTCTTTTCTGATAGGGAAACAGAGCAGGTGCATCAATATGCTTTCCTATCCACTGGAGTTACTGTTGAAAGTGTCCTACACTAAAATTGCCAATATTATGACCTGACTTGTCAGGGAGATTGATATCATACTTCTGTTCAGCCTGGGAAGGTGCTATGGCCTCCATGACCCAATGCCATTTCTGAGGGAGCTGGATATAGCTCTCCTGTCCACCCTTGCACAGGAATGAGCACACAGAGGAGATGTCCTCAACCTGCAGGTGGTTGCAAAATCACATGTCCATTCAAAAGGCCAAAGCCCTCTAATACAACAAACCAGTCACCTGTACAAAATCCTTTCTTTGATCTAGAGACCACCTGAGAGTTAAAAAAATAAAGACCTATGGGCATGCTATCGCGTTAGGAAATGGAAGACATGCAGTGAGCATCTGTCTCAGGGTTCAACACATCCTTCCTGAGCACAGATACAGTTCTCTGAAGAATTTCAGATGAACAGATAGTTTCAATCACGAAAACCATTGAGAGAATTCAGCTGGTTTAAACCTGTGCTGCTGAGTGAGCCACACATCTTGCAATGACTGCTGTCCTCAGTGAAGCACTAGGAAAGTATAGGAGATCCAGGGAGCTTCTCATGTGGCTCGCAAAGGTCTGGAGCTGGACGACTGTGGCAATCACAGACCTCAGTGAACGCACGGATTTCGTGAAGGTAGATTTGTGAGAACTACCATGAGGTCTCATATAAAACACGCTCTGTTTCTTCAGCTGAATGCTGTACATCATTACTGAGGAGTATGCTGCTGACATAGAGGCCTGATTTTCTCATTTGCAGATGTTTTTCAAAGATGTGTGATGTCTTCTGTGTCAGGAGCCCATTTGTTTTTTCTAACAGCTGCAGAATTGAAGGAAAAATATCTGTGAGGCCACAAAAGCACAGGTTGAATTCAGCAATAATTATAAACCAGTTGCCTGTATTTAGGCTTGGAAATCTGGAGCGTGAAGTCCTCATGGCAGCTATCCTGTCCCTCCTTCTATTGGACCACCTCTTGCTCTGAAAGGTGAAAGGATTGGAGCTTCATTGCCCAATGAGTTCATGGTGTCTCTGCTGAAACCCTGCCCTGGTTGCTGTGGCCCATCAGCCTTTGCCTTAGAAGGGCTCTAGGACAGGCCTGAAACATCACTGGGTGTTACACCACAGGGCAGGACCTCAGGGGAGCCACTAGCAGCACATTTTTTACCTATCATACCAATATATCTATTAATATGTCTTAATATAACTGCAGTGAGGCTAGCATTGTGTTATCTTTACTGGGTTTTGCAAGCACTTGTGCAACTCGTATTTTTCACAGATAGCCTTGCATTTTATCTAACTTTCAATGTTCAAACATCTCCGCTTGTTCCCATTGGTTTCCTTTAGAGTCACCAGAGAGGAACAGGCACCTTCACAAGATAATTCATCTGTTTCATCTTAGAACCATTTTAAGGTGAGATGAATCACCTCCTCAAGACAGCTATTTCTCTCCATTCACTAGAAATGGAGCACAAGATAAAAATTTTAGGCTTTAACTAACTTCTAACCAACAAGTTAACCTTAAACAAATTCAGACTTAGAAATATAATTCTTAGACTCTTAGAAAGAAACAACTAATGTTTGTTTCTAAAGGATAGACTAGTTCAGTAACTGAGAGGAGATGTCTCAGCTTCTGGCATTACACAAGGTCCCATAAACCCTGGAGCCAAGTTGGCTACAGGATATAGCGGGGAAGCTGTATGTCAGGGTCAAAAGGTGTCTGCAGAAGTGTGTAAATGAGCAACACACAAGTACTGGAACCACTGCAAAGTCACGTAGGGGCTAAAATCTATTGACTCAGACCTGATGCAGGGAGGAAATGGGCATTGACTGAACATGGTCCTGGTAAACACATCTAGTCCTCCACTGAACACCCTCCTGCCATTGTAGTATCGTGATTTCATCATTTACCATAATGAATCCCAAAAAGTCAAATCTTACCATTAAAAATCTGATGGAGCACTATGACAGGTCCTAGGAAAACAACAGCAAAAAAGTACCAGCATTAGCAAGGATTTACTTAGACAAATTAAAACTAACAGACCTGCAGTTGTTTTTTCCTAATTTATATTTATCTGGAATTCCTGAGCAACTCACTGGTATCCATCTCAAACATATCCACAGGCCTTGTGTTTTCTCCACAAAACCCCACCATGTATGGCAGGTGTGATACTTTGCCATGCGACAGCACAGGTGCATCCCAAGTTCTATACTCTGTTGTAGCACAATTACTTCTGAAGTAAGAGGTAGTTTAATATTATCTCACTTTAAGAACACTGCAGTATTCTGTGTGGTGAGGGAGGAGGGAAGAGCAGAGGGTGATACAGAGGAAGGCAGATATTTCCAGAAGATTTTATTCACATGATTCCAAATTTACTCCATAGAGCCTATCCTAGCCCTTTCCATGCATATTAGTTTGCAAAACCAACTCCCCCCTTGGACGCATTTAGGAAAATATTCTTTCTTAAATTAAAATTGGCTCTTTAGTGGGCAGAGCTGTGAGTGGGAACCATCCACCTAAAGGACCTGTCAGCCCACATCTGGATGTTCAGCAGTCTCCTGGGCTGGGATATGTCTCTGCAGGGGAACTTGCACAGCAATGTTGCAGTCTGAGACTGCTCCAAGGAACTGCATCCCTTTGAGGTAAGGCTGAGCAGTGCAATTCCTTGGCTGTATTACTGTAGCAGTGAGGAAATCCATTCAGTGCTTATTTTTCATAATAAACCCAGCTGACTGGGAACTATGCCATGGCACCAAAGGCAGAGGTGGAGTTCATACCAGCTGTTAGCCCAGCCTCCCCCTCACAGTGAATATTTAGCAACCTCATAAACAATGTTATGGAAATGAGATACAGAAAGAAAACCCTGTATGCATTTTTCCACTAGCAGCACAGCCTGTAAGGCATGTTATCCATAGGAAACACAACATTTTGTCAGACTGTACCTTGGCTGTTTCGGTTCTGTCGAACACAATACACTGCCATTGCTGCTCCACAAACCCCAAGAATCAGTAGTGGGGCAATGATGTCAATGCTGCTCTTTTCACGGATTGAAAATTGAGGATTACCTGCAGAGTAGAAGAAAACAAAGAGTCCAGGTGAATCAAACAGGTGTGCCAAGAAAAAAACCTGCCTCATAAGCACCAGCTAGGAAGAATTAGGCCTGGTGCTTCTGCAATGTACCCCATCAAAGCTCATAATGAGAGAAAGAACTGATGAATGAGAGAACAAATAGCCTCTGGCTTAGGATATCTTAATGAAGATACCTGTAACCAAAAAATAACTCCTCTATCAACATTTGAAGCTAATCCTTGACTCGCCACCACAACAGATACCTTTGAATATCTATCTCATTTGAAATAACCAAAAACAAGAGGTGTGAGACCTTGTATCCTGAAAATGGAAGAAGGTCAATAGCTCTGTGAAGTCTTTTGGTGATCTTACTATTTTTAGCCAGTCTTTCTGCTAAAACAAGACATGCAATAAGTAGAAAGTAAAAGCTGGAAGAATATTCTTCAGGGCAGCATCATTCTGGATGGTGTCTGGATAATGTGTATTTCAGAAACAAGGATCTGGTAAGGACAAGGCGTTCAGCTAGGTAACACATCCTTAATGATGGGTTCAAAGGCCACTAAGAAAATCCATTTTGACCATTTTTTAAAGACCTCAATGCAGAGGAATTTAAACACATAAGTATCTAGAAATGTTATTTTAATACTTGTCTAATTTAGAAGAGAAATAATAGAATCATCGTGCACACATTCAAAACTTACCAAAGAAACCACCCTCCCCACCCCCCCCAAAAAAATCCCCACACAACACAGCAAAAAGCGAAGACCTATACCCCTACCAAGGACACTCTCCAGAAATGGATAAATAGTGTTCACTTGTCTCAAGCAAAGACTCCCTGTTTGTCCATAACCTAAGGAAGATGACAAGGATTTCTACAGTGAAAGAAATTGGGATATAAAAATAACTATGTGTTACAAACGTCCTCTCAGTCTGGATGTAAAGTCTCATTTATCATCTACTGGTAAGTAGAATTTTTGGAAACTTGTTGCACGCTTATCATGTACCGTCTTCCCTCAGTGTCCCTGTATCTATAGCTATATAGCTACACCTACAGAAACCTATACCTATGGATATATATTTCCAGGACTGGGCACCTACATGGGCTAGGGGAAAGTCTCTGAGTTTGGATGGCTACAGCATGTGTGGGTCCAAGGTATGTACAGTACATCCACCCCCCGCCCCACCCCCCACCCCCCCTGTAAAACTCTGTTCACATCAAGCTGTCTGAGCAAAACTCTCTCAAAGCAAAGGGCAAACAAACATGTGAAAAGATTAACCTAGATTTCCTTCACCAGTGATGTCATCTGTTTCTCCGATTTTCTCATCTGTTATTTTAGTGTAGCACTTCAGGGGAGGTTTGGGCACTGAAGGGTCTGTCTCTACTTCACAGCAAACTCTAACCATGTTACCCCTCCCATTTTCTGAGGAAGCTGAAAGATAAAAGACGTTTTACTTATAAATATGGATAATTTATAAGATCTTCAATCAAGGGTTAAAATGGTTAAAGAGGTTAATAGGTTAAAAAAGTGGATCCTTCATGTACCACAAAAAATTGGAGATTGCTACAATCATATTTAATTCACCAACTGTTCAAACCAACCAGTCATCATTTAGATTTTCTTCTCACTGAAGCTGATGAACTGTTCTGTGAACCTATAATGGAAATCTTCACATATGAAGGTGGCAAAAAAGTTTTCACGTGTAATTAAGAACACCAAAAAATTTGTAAAAAGCTGATCATTACATTTTGCATTTAAATTCTATTCAAATAGTAATTGTGACAAAATTTTGCACCTTCCATTTACCCACAGGAACCAAAGAAGAGGAACAAACACGACCAGCAGCTGTATAAATCTCAAAGACCCCGGAATGCATCTCCTGCCTAGCCTGCATGCCACTGTGCCATTATACAACTTATTCATCTTCTAAGACATGGGAAATGTAAAGGCCATTATCTTGAAAACTCTTTCCTACCTACACATCCCACACTCAGCACATCCACCTGTTACCGTTTCAAGAAATATAGGCATCTATGTCTACAGCAATTTCTAGTTATCACTCTGGATGTTTTAGTGTCATCCAAGCTTTACACAGTGGTAACAGCATGTAGATTTTGCAGCGGTAAGCATAAATCCAGGAGAGAAATGGTTTACAGAAATTAAATACAAGAGGAATTGTTAGGCTGAACAAAAGCATATGTAGGTTGAGAATTTTTTCTTGTTTTCTTCTGTCAGCAGTAAGATTAGAAAGGATGCTCTAAGTCTAACAAGAGGTGATGAAAGCCACTTTCAGGGAATCATCTACAGCCAGGAGGGCAAAGCCAAATACATATTCAGTCGGATGTTAACTGGTGAAATGTCATTGACTTGGATGGAGTTCAGCTAAATTACACCTGTGCAACCTGATCCACCATGAAGTTTTGCCCTCTTGAAGCCACTTGCTGCATGTACTGACAGGCATTTTTATCTCTGAATTTGACAGTTTTATGAGAAAGCTGGAAGAATACCTCCTGGTTATTTACTGAATTGTACAGAAGAGCAACACAGAATGGCTCTTTAGGCTAGACCTGGATTTCAGTGTGTACTGACTGAAGTAGAAGGGATTCATACATTGCAAACTGTCACAGATTTTGACCATGAGAATTGCTGTTGCCAAAAAAAGCCCCCGAAAACCATCTTTATAAATCAGGGTAACATGAATTTATCTGAATCTCTGCTAGTGTAGTTTTAAGCAGTGTTTGACCTGAGAGAATTTAATTTATTTTTCTGATTGACTTAATGACTTTTTTCACAAAAGAAACTCATTTTGACAAGTTAGTTTACTCACTAACCTCACTGTCTGCCCAAATACATAACAGCTTGGTTTCATAACCAGAAATATGTTTTCCATATGTTGATAGCCAGGCTCCCAGTAGAGCATACCTCCAGAATTCAGGATGCCACATGAATCTCCTACTCCTGTGGCTCTCTCCCAGACAATGGCGTAAAGTCCTCCAGGAAAAGTATTTTCTTGCTGAAAGCACATAACGATGTATGTTTCACTGGTCACCAACTGAATTGTTTCATTCGAAAACTTCTCACATTGTGTTTCACCAATTTTTACAAAGTCTTCATAATTGGATAATTCGCATATGTTGCTCTCACAGTCTTTACAGTGGTAGACTGTCACACTTGTTTTGCCGAAGGAAGAGCCTTGTGTCCCCTCAGTGGGGTCATCACAAGGCATGGCAAAATCTAAATGAGAAAACAAAGGAAAGTTATTTTCTACCAGTTTCTTCCCCAGACTTTTAGTGTTAGAGAATGAGATGAGTTTTGTAGACAAACCCAGTCATGGCTTAGGAGACACTGTCTGCCAATGGGCAATTTTTATACGGTACTGAGCCCAGTCCCCCAAATAATTTTGGGGGTAGAAATACAACAGCATTCCCCCACTGCTGCCACTGGGGTTTTAACTAGGAAGCTGGCAGCTTGGGAAGTAAGTTGAAAGACATTTCTCTTGCTGAGCTAAGAGGTCCTCTGCCCAGACAGGCTTAGATGAATCATCCGTTCTTATTTTCTCTCCTTACAAAACTCCTTGGCAGAATCCTATCAGGTATATCTCCAGCGAACATCCGGATCTCAGGACAAATGAAGTTCACATACTACATACAGCTGGATGCAGTGTCCCAGGTCACTGCCACTGATTCAGTTCAATATCCTTGCAGGCAACAGTTTTACAGCCAAGCCAAAATGCACCAGAAGTCTGGCTGAAGTGCTGGGGTATGCTGGGGCTGGGTGCTGAGAGCTGACAAAGGGGTTTTACTCATTCAGACTGCCCTAGTAAAGAGCCAGTCCTTTGAGAGAGGACTCACCTCATCTGACTTCAGACAGATCCAAAAAGTTACCATTCCCAAGACAGGTGATTGTGACAGGTGGAATGAATCAACTTTCACCTTCTTAATTTCTTCTCTCACCTTAGTGGTTTTGTGGTCTTAGTTTTAACTGGACACACCTGAGCTTTCTAATAACAATTTAAAAGTTTGTAGCTACTAACATGCAGTGAAAAGCAATGAGATCAAACAAGGAGACTCACTTGGACAGGGAGCTGCAACCGTCAGAAGCAGGATACATAACCGTGCCAAGCGGGGAGAGTCCATCAGGCTGTCCTGGGTCCTCAGCTCCAGCAGTGCTGGATGCTCTCCTAGATGCCCCACGAACCCAGGGCAGGCTCACCAGGCTCCTCCCTCAGTCAGGTCCCTGTTTGGACATTAAATACAGGGTTTAGCATCCATTATCTTTCTTACTATCTTTCTGCAAACAAAAAGAAAAGAACTTCCAGGCCAAGTCTGTAAAGCTTCTTTTAGCCCAGAGAGCTGGAATGCAGGCAAAGAAATGCTCATGCTGCTCAGCTGCTACTGCACTCTGAGACGGCTTTTGCAAATGCCAAAATTGCGCCCCTTTCCATCTCTGGGTCAATCACAGCAGTTTAAGACACATGGTCTTTCTGCAGGGAAAGGGAAATCCCTCCTGAGCCTGCTGGGCAGGAGGCTCCATGTCCAGGTCCTCCAGGCTCCTCAAGGAAGTGGCCCTGCACCCATCACTCAGTAATACATGCAACAAATAACATCTTGACTTGCTGTCGTTTCCACAACACACAAAAAATTAGACAAGGAAGATGCTTTGTGCTGAATGAGTCTTTTGCTTGACCTAAGATGAAATATTTATTGTCAAACTGAATTTTATTTTTAATTTAGAAGACCTGATGGGAAATATCTGTTCAAAATAAATTAACAAACAAACAAAAACTTAGTATTTCTTTTCAAAAAATGTCTTGAATTTAGTCAGAAATTAATCCTCAATCATTTCAATGAAACTGTCATGAATTTGTGAAATATGTTTCAGTAAAACACAAGTTTCACTTTCCAAAGGAGAGAAAAAAAAACCTGGAAAATTCACTTTCCTCACTAGCCTAGCTCTGGAAAACACAAACTGCTTTGCCCCTAAGAGTTTTTCATTAGAAGCTTTCATTAAAACAACTTTTTTTGGTATGTCGCTACCTGAGAAGTACCTTGAGGAAGTTTCCAAATGAATTATGCATTAATTCCTAATTATACATTAATTGTTCAGCAAAAGTTAATAATTGCTTATCTCTCCTGATCTGTGCTAGTCTAGAGCTGCTGCAAGTCCCACCCCGATTCCCAGAAACAGATGAGACAGGAGGAACAGGACCTCCAAAACAAGCCCTTTCCAGACACAGGAGGGAATCTTCGAGACTGTCTGCAAACTTTCCTGTGGAATAAAACCTGGGGCCCCTCCACAGTGCCCCAAGCTCTTGACACCCCCACGCAGGGCCTAATCCCAGGAGATAATGGATGGAGCCAAGGTCCTGGTGCTGCTCCACACGCACCCACAAAGTCAATCCACTTCACCTCACGCCACACAAGGGACGAATTCTTCTATTTTATGCACAGTGCTCCTTCTCACCTATACAATCTTGCAAGAATTTCTTCTTGCCCCACTGAGTATTAAAAACACTCAGAGCATCAAATGAGCACAGCATCTTTTCTCATCCTCTTCCCATACATCTAAAAATAGTTCCTATCTTTTTGATTTTGGGTGGAATTTTTTTCACAAACAGATCAAGCAATACCATTTCACCCATTACCCCCTTCATCCTGTTTCTGCTTTGCAAAGCACCAGTTAACAATGCCTGACCCTCCTCCCCTGTGGGCGAGCAGAGTGCCAAGGGACTGTCATCAACCTTAGAATCACAGAATCATTTAGGTTCAAAAAGACCCTTAAGATCATTGAGTCCAACTGTTAACCTAGCACTGCCAAGTCCACCACTAAACCATGTCCCTAAGTGCCACATCCACACATCTTTTAAATACCTTCAGAGTCCTTAAATACCTCCTTGTCCTCCTCGGAGCATGTTCACCAGCCTGATGCAGTCGTCACCGACCAGCTGCAGTACATCTGGCAGATTTATTTGCCCAGAGGTTAAGGACAATAAGTGGTTTTTTTCCCCAGTAGTTTTCAGCCTGATGTCTATCTTCTGTCCTATTTGTTCTGTCTTCTATTCTCTTTTGTGGTCTTGCCTCATCCTTGTCCCTCCTCTCATTCTGCTCAAATGATACCTCCCTTCCTCTTCTCTTGGGTGACATTCCTTCCTACTCCCCCTTTTCATTTTCAAAAGCCAGAACACTGTCTGCTAGATCTCTGCCCTCTCCTACTGGTCTGTCTTATAATGCTTTTTTTTGGCAGGTTTCTAACAGTCTTCAGCTATCTTGGCCACCTCCTGCCATCAGTTTTAAACTTACGTTAAAAATAAAACACTCAAATCTAAAATGAAACACAGTCTTTAGATAGAAAATATTTTTTATCAAGTTTTTTGCCTGCTTGCCTTTCTTTCCAAGGCAATACAAACCTTCACTTTTCAGAGCTACTGAAGTTGTCTACAGAGCTCTAACAAAGCAATGCCAGACCCTAAAAGTGGATCAGCTGCAAGCAATAGATGAGTAAAGTAACAACCATAAGGATCTGGAGCTTCTTCACCAAACACCAACCACTCACACCCAGCTGGCAGACTTTTCCCCAGGTCAGACCTGTCCCCACAAACAAGCCAACCTGAAATCACTGGCAGGAGAAAGTGAATTTAACCAGAAATTGAAAGTTGTAGAGCCCTAACAAGGTCTTTGGGTTTTGTTTTTGAAAGGATCTGTTTGAGTAACAATCACTACCTGAAACTCTCCTGCTTCTCCTTCTCCCATAACTTCACAGCAAACACAAAACAATAAACAACTCCAATGTTCACCAAGACAAGAACGTCAATCATTAACACAATAGCATCATTTCCACTAGAAACAAGGTTGTCTGATCTCAAAGTTAAAAGCTAATGACCTGGAACATTCTAGTTAGACACCTGCATTTTCCTACTCCAGCACAAGTGAAACACAGGCAGCTCACTGCCTTTCCAGTGTGCATCCTCAGACTTACTGACCTCTGCCTCTGGCACAGCTTAGCTGAGGCTGCCACTTCATTGGGGACCCCCATGGTGACAAGCGCAGAGCTGTGGTGGGGAGTCACCCAAAGTCCCGGCCATAGGAGATGGCAGAGCAGGGCTGCTGCTTTGGGGTTTAGATGTGCTTCCCTCTCCAACCAGCTGTGAAGTGCAGTCACGGACCCAGGAGATCCAGTGCTACACTCCAGCTGTGAACACTGCATTTCCCTGCCCCTTCTCTCTCTTCCAGCCACACACCATGGGAGTCTATAGCTTTATGAGCCTTTTAGTATATGGTTATATGGTCAGGCAGAACCATCTTGGTGGAATAATGCAACACATTTTTAGAAAAGATTTATCTGGTACCCCAAGTATCCCATAGAGAGGACTTAAGTTTCAAACGTTTTGAAGAAAATAATACTGTTGAAGGAAGTAAGGGAAGCAACAAAGTAAAAACCAAAGAACTTCAGAAGATCCTACAGACTTTATTTTCCACTCTTAAGTTCTTTCCCAGAAAAGGAGTAAACTTTATGTAAGAGATAATTTTTGTATTACTTTCAGTACCTGTTTCACTTTATTGGTCTGCTGAATACCACTCTCAACAAGCTTTTGCAATCAAAAAAAAAAAGAACAACAAAATCACAGGAAGAGATAAAACAGCTGTTTCCCAAGTGAGCCTGTGAGTGCAGTTTGTTTCCACAGTTCCAACAAGCCAGTGTGGAAAGCACTTAGCAGGACACTGTGCTTGAGCTAAGAGAAAGCTGCAAAAATCCTGAGAGTAAAGTACACAACTTCCCAGCAACTGCTATTAAAAAAATTTTCCACAGTAACTGTTAGAAAAAGCTACTAACATTTTATTTTCTGCTTGCGGCACATTAAGGCAAGTAGAATGAACTGTTTCACTGGTTTAATTTCTTTTGTTTTAAAACCAATATCCTTGCTGAGTGACACTTTCTGTTTTGGTTCTCTGTTTTGTTTTGTTCTGAACCCAGAGCCACCAGGGTCCCCATAGGTCCCTTTTGGGAGCGGAGCAGTAGCCACAGGGAAAACAATGAACAATCAGCTCCAGCTTGGGTGACAGCTTCTCCCTGAAAAGGAGGAGAGATGCAAAGATTTATTCTGCAACCCTCCTGGCAAATTATCCTTTATTTGCAAATATAACAGGATAGCAGTTTTGGAAAAGGAGATATTAGCAAAACATGCCAAGGAGCTATGAGAAAAAGATAAAGGTTAATTGAATGTGGGAAAAATCATCTGGGAATTACATGAAGGTGAGAATGCTCTAATAGATTTATTCCATTACTTCTGTGGTCACTCACACTTATATATAAGTGCACCACTTCATGAAGCTGTTGGGTTTTTGCATTCACACAAGCAACACGAAAGCAGTGGAGAACTGCATGAAGGGTGGCAGTCAGCCACGTAAAAAGCAGTGTTATTTATTTAGCAAGGTCGTGCACACAAGGAATGCACATTCTTCCTTATGGAGAAAATGTGAAACACTAATCATTTCCCTTCTGCTGCAGACTTTTTTAGTGCCTGTTCCTAAATGCCTACTTAAAAACAGGAAACAGCAACAATTTCTAAGAGAAAAGACTGGCTGTAAGGCAGGAGCCTTTAAAGAAGATGACAGTGTGAGTACCTCAAAAGTTGTTTGTGTCCAAGCCTATTCCATGAGCCCGAGAAGCCTTCCCAGCTCCCAGTTCATTCAGTTCCTCTTCCAGAGCCCTGCACAGGAGATGAAGAAGTCTCTTGGATCCCAGAGAAAAAGACACACTGTGGGCTTCTCCCTTCATTTAAAAAGCAACTGGATTTTCACTTTCATTTCTGGAGCACAGGGCAGCAGTGTCACTGATTAAGATAAACAGGGTAAGTCCACACTGCTGCATGGGACTGCAGCTGGAAAGCATGGAAAAAAACCACACCACCAGAAAAACCTCCCAGGAACCTGCTTATGGGTGTCTGGGTAGTAAATCCTTCTGTATTGCAACAGTGATGTGAATGGACTGGATTTGAGATCTGCTCCTGGCTTTGCTACTAACTTGCCATGCAAGGGGTCCCAATGCAGGAGACCCTGCAGCACCGAGCTGAGCTCAGCTTATTCCCTAGCAGGGATCAATGTGGAAAGATACCTTGCCAAAATGTGCACGCTTCAGG